GGGCAGGGCGCTGCGGGCCGGGGCTTTGCGCTCGGGCGTGCGCTCCTCCTCGCCGGCGCCCCGGCGTCTTGCGCGCGTGCAACTCTTCGGTGCGGCGAGTTTGCAGCCTGGATTCTGGAGTATCCCGGGAGGAGGACCGGGGAGGCGGGGAGGAGGCTGCTGCCCGGAGCGGGAAGGGGTGGAGCCGAGCCTCTCGGGGAGCTGGGGAGAGCTCTGCCTCAGGTGCCCACTCTGGGGGCCCGCGGTTGGAGCGGCGGCGGCAGGCGCAGGAGAGCGCATCCCCAAAGCCCGAATTCTGCGCCCGCCTGTTGCTGGAAAAAGGCAGCTTGCTTAGCGGGAGGGGGTGCGCGGACGCCTCCTCTCCCGCCTGGGCTTCCAGCCAGGCTGGAGGTGAGCGTGGGGGGGGGGTTGGGGGGGTCGGACGGCGGCTCCCGCCCGAGCAGGGCGTTGGCAGGGGTTGGGGGGCGGCGTGGGTCGCCTCGCGCCTGCCCGGGTGACGGGATCACAGGTGGCAGAAACGAGGGATTGAGGGTGTCCACAGTGGAAGCGGCCCAGATCCATTACGCCTCCCGGAATGGGACCCCGTTCAGGTGGGAAGAGCGCCCCTGCACCTCGGAGTTTTTCTCTGGAACTGCCCGGCGCTCCCGGGTGCACGCTGCCCTTGTATGGCCTGCAGCGGTGTGGCGTGTTTCACTTGGCTCCTTTTCCTGGGTCCCAGCCGCTGTCCGGCTGGGGAAGGGGAGGGCCAGGCAGTACCCAGCTCACTGGCCTCATGCCCAGTGCCTGCAGTGTCCCTGGGGTACCCCCGGCTGCTGGCTCCCAAGCTGTGTTTCTGGGGAAGGGGCGAAATTGGGCTCCACAGCGGCAGCAGATCTAGCCCCACCGTGCCCTGCTCCTTCAGCTCTGGGGAAACCGAGTCAGGGATCCGAGGCTTGTGCTCTGGGTTGAAGACCACTCCATCTGCCCTCCTTGTCTGGGAGCCAGCCCAGGGCAATAGCCCAGCGTCCCTGAGGCCTGCCAGATGGTATTGAGTGACATCACCTCCTCACAGGGCAGGGAGCACCCTGGCACCACTGACGTCGCTCTTGCCCACTGCCTGGCCCTTGCCCTGACCCCTGGGGGGGGGGGGGATTCTGACCCCTCCATGCTCACAACACTCCCAGGATGGGGTCCTCTGAGTTTGTGGGATGTTCAGAGGTACTGCTTAGGGAGCGTGTGATGGGAGCTTCTGGCCATGGTTGGCCCACTAGGTCTTGCGGGAAATTTGGGGAGGGCTCTTTGGGGGGCAGAGTAGTGGTGTCTTCCCCTCGGCGGGCATGGGGACACAAAGGGGCCTGTGTGGCTCAGCCTGGCACATGCCTTGCATTCCCACACTCTGAGCTCACTGGAAGGGGTGGGGGCTTGGAAGGAAAGGGGCCTTCCTCTTGGCCCAGAGCCTGGGTTGCCCCTCTGCCAGCCTCATCTGGAAGATGCTCGTGCTCAGCGTCTCTGCTGCAATGACCAGAGACGGTCACCCTCAGCTCTCCCGAACAGGGGGGACGGTGGGGGCGGTCAGGGGAGAGGGGGCTGCCTGGGGCAGCAGGTAGAGGGGGGTTGAGGGTTAGGAGGACCGAGTCCCCTCTGGACCCTGCAAGTGGTAGGGGGAACAGCTGCAGGGCAGGGGCGTGCAGGGAGGGCATGGAGAGCAGCTGGAGCCGACAGCTGCTGGGACGGGCCTCCTCCACCCCAGGTGTGCCCGGAGAGGCGGAGCCCCCCGAGCCCGAGCTGGTGGAGGCGGAAGTGGGCGGCACGGCGCTTCTCAAGTGCGGCCCCTCCCATTCCCAGGGCAACTTCAGCCACGTGGACTGGTTTTCTGTGAGTGCGCGGGCCCTGGAGAGGGCGGCAGGGGGGCGGGCGGCTGTCCCCCTCCTGCACCCCGGGACCCTCACGTCCTCTCCAACACCGGCCGTCAGGTGCACAAGGAGAAGCCGACGCTCATCTTCCGCGTGCGCAAGGGCCAGGGCCAGAGTGAACCCGGGGAGTACCAGCAGCGGCTCAGTCTCCAGGACAGAGGGACCACGCTGGCCCTGAGCCACATCACGCCCCACGACGAGCGCATCTTCCTGTGCCAGGCCAAGCGCCCTCAGTCCCACGAGCACCGCATCCAACTCCGTGTCTACAGTGAGTGCCCCACCTGAGGGTTGTGGGCCGTGCGGGTGGTCATTGGTGGTGGAGGTCCCGGGCCCCTCATTTCCTTCCCTTGTAGAAGCTCCGGAGGAGCCGACCATCCAGGTCAATCCCTTGGGCATCTCGGTCAGCAGTAAGGAGCCTGAGGAGGTGAGACTGGCCAGGTGGGAAGCAGGAGCCCGGGTGGGGCCGGGTGGGGCCTCCGTGGCAGGGAGACTCATACCGTGTCCTCCTCAGGTGGCCACCTGTGTGGGGAGAAATGGGTACCCCGTTCCTCAAGTCATCTGGTATAAGAACGGCCACTCCCTGAAGGAGGAGAAGAACCGTGAGTTGCCCTCTGCGCCCTAAGAAGCCATGCTGATGGCACCAGAGAGGGACCACCCTGCGTTTCCTTGTGCTTTGTTTGCTTCAAGTACACAAGTGACGCCTGAAAATCTTTTCCTGAGAATTTAAACTGTGCAGAAGATCTAGAAGGAAAGTTCCCTTTCCGCCCCGGATCCCCTCCCAGAAGTAATCTCTGCTGTCCGTGTTTGTTCTTTCCATCCGGTTTCTGGGTACTCACACACACACACACATACACCGAGGCACGTGGAGGCTTTTATTTTTTTCTATCATCTAAAGCAGTGGTTCTCAACCAGGGCTGATGCTGCTCCCCCTCGGGGACGTCCAGTCACGTCCGGGGAGCTGATGCTAAACACCCCATAGTGCACAGGACAGCAGCCCCCCCGCCCCAGCTAAGGTCGCGCTGAGGTTGAGAAACCCCGACCTCAGTGGCTTGGTGTGGCGTCTGTCGTCACGCCGGGATTGGTTTTCTTTGGTCGGTGGGTCCTGGAAAGCTCAGAGGAGCCTGTGGAGCTGTACCTGATTGTTCTGCCCACCCCCGCCCCCGACCCCCGGATTGCCTACGGTGGGGATGGTGGAGGGGGGCTAACTGAGCAGTCCCCGGTTGGTGGACGTCTGGAGTCTTCCCCACTGCCTCCCCCCGTCACTGCGGCGTCCCGTCCTCGTGTGTGTGCGCGCGCGAGGGTCAGGGGTCCCTCTCCAGGTGCCCCCCGGGGACTCTGGGCTGGGGGCAGAGGCGGGGCCGCGGCCAAGCCCTTCTCCCCGCCCCCGCCTTCTCCCCGGCCAGGGGTCCACATTCAGTCATCCCAGATCGTGGAGTCAAGTGGTCTGTACACCTTGGAGAGCGTTCTGAAGGCCCAGCTGGCGAAGGAAGACAAAGATGCCCGGTTTTACTGTGAGCTCAACTACCGGCTGCCCAGCGGCAACCACATGAAGGAGTCTCGGGAAGTCAACGTCCAGGTTTTCTGTGAGTCCCGGTGCGGCCCTGGGCTGAGGCTGGTGGCAACCCCGGCTAGCTCCGCTCCCCAGCGCGGGGACAGCTCTGGGGCTGAGGGCCGCGGCCTGTGCCTCTGCAGACCCGGCGGAGAAGGTGTGGCTGGAGGTGGAGCCCGTGGGGGCGCTGAAGGAAGGCGACCGCGTGGAAATCAGGTGTTTGGCGGACGGCAACCCCCCGCCCCACTTCACCATCAGCAAGCAGGTGCGGAGGGCGCCACGCTGGGGGCCCGTGGGCCGCGGGACTGGCTGGAGGCCCCTCCGCTCACCCCTCCGCTCTCTTCCAGAACCTCGGCACCAAGGACACGGAGGAGATGACACCCGAAGACAACGGGGCCCTGGTCTTGGAGTCTGCCCAGAAGGAGCACAGTGGGCTCTATCAGTGTCAGGGCCTGGACTTGGAAACCATGGCTTCGCTGCTGAGCGACCCACAGGAGCTGCTGGTGAACTGTGAGGGGCCAGGGGCCCAGGACAAGGGGGCCCGGGCTGGGGGGTGGCAAGAGGGAATTCGCCCCGCCCGGGCTGACACCACTGCTGTGTCCCCAGACGTGTCCGACGTGCGGGTGAGCCCTGCAGCCCCGGAGAGCCGGGAGGGCGGCAGCCTCACCCTCAGCTGTGAGGCAGAGAGTAACCAAGCCGTGGAGTTCCAGTGGCTGAGAGAGAAGGTACCCAGGCAGGCCTGGGGCTGCGGGCTGCGTGGGGCTGGGAGTGAGCCCCTGACGCCGTCTCTCACCCCAGACAGGCCAGGTGCTGGAGAAGGGGTCTGTGCTCCAGTTCCACGACCTGACGCGCGAGGCAGGGGGAGGCTACCGCTGCTTTGCATCCGTGCCCAGCGTCCCGGGCCTGAACCGCACGCAGCTGGTCCACGTGGCCATTCTTGGTGAGAGGCCCTCTGGGCAGAGATCAGGCGGCCCCTTGAAGCTGCCCTGGGGTGCGCTGGTGGGGACGGGGAGGCAGGCTAGCAGAGTTTGCTGCCACACCCGTACTCCTCCCTCCCTAAGGGTCCCCATGGATGACGTTGAAGGAGAGGAAGATACGGGTGCGAGAGAACGAGGTGCTCAATCTGTCTTGCGAAGCCTCGGGACATCCCCGGCCCAGCATCTCCTGGAGCGTCGCGGGCACGGTGAGCAGGCCCGCCGCCTCTGCCCGCGCTCAGGAATCCCTGCCCGGGGCTCTGCTGCCGGCTCTGGGCCCCCTCCCCGTGCCCCCCTCCCTGAGCGGCTCCTCCGTCCTTGTAGGCACAGGAACAAGACCAAGATCCGCAGGGCGTCCTGAGTGTCCTGAATGTCCTCGTGACCCCAGAGCTGTTGAGGACGGGGGCCGAGTGCGTGGCTTCCAACTCCCTAGGCACAAACACCACCACCATTCTCCTGGAGCTGGGTAAGGGCCTCATCCCGCGGCGTGGCGGGGTGTGGGCACCAGTGTGCGCTTTTCCTAACGCACCTCTCCACCGCCTTCACCACTCACCAGACTCCAGCAGAAGCACCGGCCTGAGCACCTCCACCGTCAGTCCCTCCGTCCGAGCCAACAGCACCTCCACAGGTAAGCAAGCCGTCTCGGCTCGAGAGCGGGGCGGGCAGCCTCCTCCTGCCCTGACCCTTCCCCGGGGAGCCCTGCTGAGAAAGGTGAGCAGGGGCCCATCTTCCATCAGCCCTGGGCTGGGGGCGCGGCATGGTGGGAACCGGGCCGCCTGGGGCCTGGAGTGACCCGGAGCGTCTTTGTGGGACAGAGAAGAAGCTGCCAGAGCCTGAAAGCAAGGGCGTGGCCATCGTGGCCGTGACTGTGTGTGTTCTGGTGCTGGCCGTGCTGGGTGCCGTCCTCTATTTCTTCTACAAGAAGGGCAAGCTGCCGTGCGGGCGGTCAGGCAAGCAGGAGATGTAAGCACGGTACCCTGTGCCCTGCGCCCCCACCCGTCGCGCGCTCCCCAGCTTGTCGCCTGGGCAGGGACGTTCCCTGCCCGCCCCCTCCACTCACCCCTTCGGAGCAGGAGGGGGCCGCTGGGGGGTGAGTGCTCCCCGCTTTCCTGCCCACTGGCTAGCTGCCATCACCCACACGTCTCCATTCGTCGCCTGTCCCCCTTCCCTGAGCTGGCCCCGGAGCGCCGAAGAGCCCATCATCGCCCAGTCCGACGTCTTTGCCAGTGAGCCTCCCCGAGATGCCAACTTCTTGCCTCCCTCCCTCCCTCCCAGCACGCTGCCCCCGTCTCGTAAGAGCGAATTTGTAGTTGAAGTTAAGTCAGATAAGCTCCCAGAAGAGATGGGCCTCCTACAGGGCAGCAGCGGTGACCAGAGGGCGCCCGGAGACCAGGTAGGAGGCAGCTCCTGCGGCCAGCGCCTGACACAGCTTCAGGGATCGCGAGCAGCAGGGGCTGATGGCTCTCGTGTCCCCGAACACTAACTCTGTCTCCCCACTTCCTCCTCCTCTGTTGGGAGACTGGGAGCAGGCCCGTCTTGGCTTCCTAACACTAGTCCCAGATGGTAGGGTGAGGCGAGTGGCCGAGGGACCCTGGAGAAGGGGTAGCTCCCAGGACTGAGAGCAAACACTGCCCGTCACCACCACCCTTTCCCCAACAGTGCCGTGGCTCAGGTCACCAGGTGCGGTGTGGCCAGTCTGGTTTGGGGGCCTAGGCTCACCCGCCCTGCCCCACCACCCCCTCCCGCTGCTTCCCTCCACGCCTCATCCATCAGCTTTGGCTTTAGTCCCTGGTCCCTTCAGCGCTCACACCCCAGACTCCCGTCCCTGTCCCCGCCGCGCCCCCCTTACCTCTCCTGTCCACCCGTTTCTAGGGAGAGAAATACATCGATCTGAGGCACTAGCCCGCCCAGGACACCGAGCGCCCTTCCCACCTGGAATGTTTTCTGCTCCCCACTCACCCCCTCCCTCCCAACGCTCAGGACGACCGCCAAAGCCTCCGAAGCGGGCTGTGGAGAAGGCCCCTGCCGCAGCTGGCGTGTAGGCCCCATCTCAGAGGGCTGAGCCAGCCCGCCACCGTCTCACTGTTGGGTGATACTCACCCCAGGGAGGGGCCTCAGCATCCTGGGAGCGGGAAGGAGTTTCTCACAGACCATGTTGTGGGTGTACATACCTGTCTTCAGCCGGCAGCCTGTTTATCTTGGTGCTGGTTTCCTGCTCCGAAGGCTGGCCTCGTCCTTCAGTTGTGTCGCTGAAGTGAGGGCTCACTGAGCCCAGGCCCCTCTCACACCGTTCTGGAGAGTACCACAGCCTTCATGACAAGCGGCTACCCACCTGCTTCAGGAGCCCCTTTTGTGACCCACCTTCCTCTGGGCAGAAGCCAGGACTGGTGTCATTCCTTAAAAGAGGTGTTGGGTGTATCTCATTGTCCCTGCAGGGAGGAAGCTAGGCAGTTTTCCAGAGTTAGGCCATTGAGCCCAGCACCCTCCCCCCGCAGTTTGGCTCCCACTGCCCAGTCACGGGGTCGTATCAGACTAAAAGGTGGGGTTAGCGGACAGAGATGAGGTCCAGACTGTCTTTTAGGAGGATCAAGGCTATAATTCTACTAGCACCAAACTTCTACGAACTGAGCTAACGGGCTTAGACTCTGGCAGAAGCGCCCTCACGGGAGAATGGTACTTCGGGACGAGGAGCGGGCCTGGCTGCAGCTTTGGGGTGTGTTTGTGTATCTGTGTGTGCGTGTATGTATATGTGATTTTGTTAGGTCGTGTGTACATTTGCAAATTTCCTTTATATATATATATATATATATATATGAAAAATAAAGCTTAATTGTCCCAGAAATGTCACACTGCTTTTTATTCATCACGGTACCATAGCAGCCTGGGGCCTCCGGATCTGGCACTGCACTAAAAGGAATACCAAACCCTTTGCATTTGGGAGCGGGGACCAGGGTTACCTCTGCTTCTGAGCAAATGGCTCAAGTTCTACCACAGAGGATAATGACCCTTCTTAGCAGCAGCAAAGCCGCCTTGCCCGAGGCAGCCTGCAGGGCCTGCCGGGCTGTGGGCAAGGAGCTACGGGGCCCTTCTGCCGGCAGGAGGGCTTTCCTCCTGCGCAGACCTACCTCACCGTGATGACTGGGTGGGCCGAGTCTGTCTGTCGCTCTCCCACCCCCACGGAAGAGCAAGAACTCCAGTCTGCTACAACAAAAGAAACTTTATTTAAAAATATTTTTTTTTTTTTTTTTACAGACATGGGTGCTTGAAAAAGCTCTTTAGTTAACAGTGTATGGAAATGAAAAAAATTAATAAATAACATTAGTATAACAGACCTCTAAACATTAATACACTGGCAAAACAAAAGGGACTTGAAAATGAATCTTAAAGCTCTGCTCTTCTCTGTAAGAATATTTACCTTCTGTTTTTATTCTTTACAGGTGAGAATGATTAAATACTGCTAATATAAATTTTTTTTATATTAATGACACATTTTTAAAATAGTCCACAAAAATCTCATCTAAGTTTTCGTTTTGTTTTATTTTTAACACTGATACACAAATTGGGACTCTCTATTCTGGAGAAAGCATCAAGTTCTCCTCAGCCCCACCCAGGTCAAGAATGTCAAAATCCTAAAGAGGGAGGACTTGAAGGGTTTCTCTCCCAATTCCTTATTAGTTAAAGGCAGGGAGGAACTGAAAAGGTCGGAGAGGGAGAAGTAAAATACCACGTAGAAAGCATTTTGTCTTTTTCCTTTGCACAGACCTACAGCGGCCACACAAGCCTGAGGCCGGGCTCGGGCGCGGGCCTTGCTGCCTCTCCCAGGGGCGAGCGACCCCGCCGAGGGCACCGGCTGCCTAATGCTCTAAGACTCAAGTCTTCAAGTAAGAGGAAAGCCGAGTCTGAAGGGAGAGGCAGGAGGTCTAGGCCAGCTCGGGATGCAGCACAAAGAAACAACCCCCCCTTGTCAGCAGAGCCCATCCTCCACTCTTGCATGCAGCTGGGGCCTTACCAGGCAGGACCAGGAGGCTGGCACGTGCCAAGTGGTCCAGGGCACTCCTGGGAATCCCAGAACAGTCTCTCTCCTCTGGCTGGAGACAGATCGCTCAACCTGTAACTACGACTCTGAATGGAACCAACCAGATGCTCCCAGGGTAACGCTGGCTTCTCCCGACACGGCATCAGGGCAGGGGGAAGGGACTGCCCCGCCGCACCTATGTGCCCTCTCCCCAGCCCCACACAGCCTCTCCTCCTCCCCCCTACACTGTGAGGACTGACGCTCAAGGTAGAGGAGCTAAGACTCTGATATTTCCATATTAAGTCCTAAAATGCAGCCTGGGACACAGTGCTGCCTTAGAAAGGCACAAAATGTTTGGCTTTTTTTTTTTTTTCGGTATGCTAAAAATTGTTCTGTTTTGAATAAAGGAAAAAGATATATAAGGTTAAAAATTCCAAGTCACTGCAGCCAGAAAGCAAATGTAGGAGGCACCTCCTAGCTGCCACGCCTCTACCGCGTGTTTCAGCAGGAGGTCAAGGCCAAGACACTGAGACGGGTAGGTCAGGAGGTATCCACTCTCACGGGCGCTGCGCCTACAGGCTTACCCAGACAGCAGAAGGAAGCCAGGGGAGAGAAAACACGGGGTCTCCAGACTCCTAAGTAGTTCTCTGCCTCCTCAGTTTCAAGACAGCCGTGAGCAGGGCCACCCTCACCCACAACAGGGTCAGAGGTAGGTAGGGAGGAGGGAGCAGACACACACGGACGTAAGGGCACGAAGCGTGGGCAAGCAGTCTGGCCTGCACCCCCCCACCCCCGTCTGGGAGGAGAATTTGCGAGTTCACTGTAGGAAGAAGCCAAGAATCCGGAGCCGGTGATCACAACTCTGCTGATCTGTTTGGCTGCCTCATCAGTAGGAGCACGGAGGTTGGCTTTCAGCCTTTGCTCTGTACAAGAGGGAGTGGTCCGCCACATTTTTCTCAAGCACTACCCCAGGGAAGGGAAGGGGCAGGGAGATGTCCAGACAGCTGTTACTCCGAGCAATCGGGAGCATCGGGAGCATCGGCAGGCGCGCTTCCGAAGGGCTGACGTTCCCATCTGAACGTGGATGTGCCTCCACCCACCCCTATCTCCCCACCTCTTACTCTGGTGCTACTTAGCAGAACCAGAACACAGCGGTACTCCCCTCTGAAACCAACCCAGATGTCCGAGGACACGGGCGCATGGCGTTGCCGTCCCTCTGCTCCTGGATTCTGGACCGAGTCCAGGATATACCAAATGCAAAGGCTAACGACCCCCCTTCATCAATGTGTATCTTTGGATTACTAGGTTACTTCTGTGTACTCCAAACGACTCCAATAGCTTAAAAAAGTTACAAGTAATTATGAAATGCCTTACTAACATGGGACAGGCCCTTGGATGAGGTAAGATCGATCAAAACACTTAGGCAAGCAGAAGCTGTTCTGTAAAAATCCAAAAAATAAAGGCTTTGATACGGCACTACAAAGAAAGCAAGTGGACGGGGAAGACCAGGGTTTCCAGTCTAAAGAGCTCTCAGTCAAAACTCTCCTCTAAACTGGAATCTACATCGGATTTATATCCTGGCAACTGTCCCAACTATTAGATAGTCTTGCTGGCTACAGGGAAGTAGTTTCTGAGGCACCTCGGAAGGCTTGCCTAAGAACATTACCACAGAGCTCTCCGCACGCAGCAAACACCAAATGCAGGGGTGAAGGAGGAGGGCAGGGAGGGCCACGGGCCCACAGAATGAATATATGTTCAGCGAGAAAACCTGAAGAGAGCCAGAGGTCCATGGGTGGCTACAGTGGGATCTGTCATCTGCTCTCCAAATAATACGAAAGAAGGCTAAAAACCTGAGATTGAATGAAGGCAAAGAAATGTCACCTAAGAACAGACTGGCTCCGGAACAGGAGAAACTGGTCCTGAAGAGGGAGGTAAGAAATCTTGGATGCCAAGACCGGTAAAGGGAATTAAAACACGAAATAAAGCAACAAAGATGACGGAAACCCGAATTAAGCGAAACCTAAGAATTTCTTCAATGTCCCAGATACAGTCCCATGCCCTGCCTTTCCACTCTCTGGGGAAAAAAAAAAAAAAAAAAGAAAAAAGGCAGTACACGACAGCAGTTTTGCTACTAAAATACTTCTAGGGTATCTATCCCGTCTGAAGCCTCTTCTCTGAGAGCCCTCCCCCGACTCCCACCTGAGGGGGCCACTGTCACCCCTGTGCCCAGGCTGACCAGTCAGGGGTAGAGGCCCGAGCAACGTGCTGGGCTGATCGTGTTTTTTCTTGAGAAGAGGAGTAAGAGGCCCTGGGAATCTGTGCATGGTGATCCCGAGAGCCGGGAGGTCGTGTGGACCTGCGGACAGGGCTGTCTAATCTGGGGCGGTGCAGGACAAGGAGAAAGGACTAGGTGCAAATTTTGACAGCCCCAGCTCCATGTAAGAACCCACTGTACTTCCTATACTGGGGTCTATAAAATACCCTGCATCCTTAGGACTCCCTCCTTTCTTTAGCCTGGATACCTGTTTCTTGCATCTGAAGGATTCCTAAACAGGACAGTCAACAATATAAAACCGTGACCTCCTTTCAGCATGCACCCTCCTCTGTGCACAAATGGCTTGATGCGTTTCTAAAGAAAGACTGCGACACAGGCTGGGGTCAAAGTGGTGCCAGGACCACTTTATGCTGACGTAGATTACTTCAGCTTGAATTTCTAAAGCCTGCACAGTTAGCAGAAGAATGGTGATGTGTGCATCCTGATGCTAAGTTCTAGGGTCCTGGGCTCCCTACCCTGGGACAGAAAGGCTGGCATTTCTGAGAAGCGACTGAGTTCCATCTATTTTACTGCCTGGCTCTTGGGAGAGCACATACATCTGTTCAAGACCAGGACCCAACGTTAGGTATCCACCTGTCTCCCACACCTTCAGCCCTTCTAGGACACAGGATGAGCTGCAAAGGTCGCTGAAGGGCTGGAAAACAAGTCTCAAGGAGAATGGGAGATGGTGACAGGTCCCAGGAGGGTGACAAGGAAACTTCACAACAGTGGGGGACTAGGGACTCAAAGCAGTTCAGTAAAAAGATCAGGGAAGGCACTCGACTGGAGAGGGGACTGTGGGCAGATGCTCTGCTTAAACATTTAACTGCCCTACTGTGCGACTCTGAGCCAATATGCGCCTCAACCCACCACACAGATTCCATTGCAAGGCATCCAAGACGGCGGGTCCCCATGAGGCCGACACCGCGGAATCTCCCAGACATTATCAAGGCTCTAGGAAGACAACAGGGGTTCATGAAGAGCCTTGAATTGCTCCTACCCAGGACAGCTCTACAAGGAAATACGTGTCTACATGAAAGAGCTGTAAATACACACTGCACAGTCTCCTTGGGAAGGGCTATTTCAGGGCCAGATGCAAGGGCAAGACGGCCCAAGTACAATCCGCCGGCATCGGGAAATCCGCACGTGGTGGCAGCGAAGGGCTCGGCACTGGCACTTCCGGCACATGGGAATCACTCACAGACCTTTGCTGAACGAACAGGCTAACCGGAACGCAGCCAGGCCAGTGGTCCGAACGCCGTTCCTCCCTGGGCAGTGGCCACCGGAGTCAGAAAGGCCAATGGCAGGAAGGGGAAGGTACAGTTTAGGAAGAAGGTCTATAATCCTGACTGTCATGACATGAGGTAGGAGAATATTCTGCATCAACACCTGCGCTGACCACCCAAAACAGGTGTCGATCTTATTAATGGTGCCTTAAAGGGAATATAGAGCTTGGTCCCTACTCTGCTAGCAAATTTACAAAAACTCATTTGTACGTTGGCTGTGTGGACCATGGGTTATATTTTACTTTTCTACAGAGGAAATAAATACTTTAAGCATGAAGGATAGCAGCTCCCCACCAAAAATTTTGATCCACAGAACAGCTAACTGATGCTGGGCCCTCGGGCGCTGTGGGTAAGAGAACAGAAGGGCAGAGTGTATAGAGGGGCGCTGTGGGGGGACAGAGGGCCAGGGGAGGAGAATGGCCATCCACAGGTACAGATCACTATTTACATCAACATTAACAGGTAAACGCTGAGACGAGAAACTGCCCAATCTCTTCATTTCTTCAAGGGAGGTATATCATAGAGCCCACAGGTTTTTCCACTCGAGAACCCTGTACTTGAGTGGAAGAAGGCCGGCAGGGGCAGTGGACGACGAGGCAGGCTGTGCAGAACAAGCCGGAAAGACAGAGGGAAAGCAGGAGACCGCACTGAAGAGAAGAGCCTAATGCATCTGACAAAACCTCAAAGTGGCTTTTTGACCTTATCCACCTGGGAAGGGACCAGAGAAGAAACCACTTGTAATTCGAAGGGAGAAAGGAGAGGGATCTGCCCAAAATGACAAAACTCAGAGCCCACTTCTGAAAGGGAAATTTTAAATTCTGAGCAGAGCCCAGGAATTAGAAACTGCCATACAACTGGAAGATGAAGAAGGGTTATTTGTGCCTCAGTCCAAGGAAAAGCTAAGAAATTAAAAGTTCTGGAAGTCCCCTCAAGACAAATGCCCACGTGGAAACTGTCCTGAGGCAATAACACTGGCGGCCTCAGGCATGGCCGAGGTTTGTCCTCAGAGCACCCAAGGGGAGCAAACCTCCCAGAACGATCTAACGCCCGGGAAGCCCGCAGACCCACAGCAGACAGGCCAACCAGCAAGCCGGTCACCGACGCGTATGTCCGACCCTGGGATCTGATGCAGCCCGGTCTCAGGGCTGACCCCAGGAGCCACGGGGGCACTCAACTGGGAAAAAAGGGATGAACCTGCCTTTGGCCTCTATGAGTAAGGAAAGAATCTCCAAAGAAGATCTGGGATACACCGAACAGGCAAGAGATAGGCAGAACCAGGGCTCTGTTCTCTTGACCCATCTTCAGACTGTGGACCGTGTCTGCAGACAAGGAAACTTCCAGTGTGGACAGGCACGGAAAATGCTGCCAGTTTTCCTAGTTCTTTGTCTGGCTCTTCAGCATCTAAACAAAATGCAAACTGAGTGTTAACCACAGGTGGAACACTCTCCTTACCGGCTCGCAGGAGATGCTGGGTCACGGCTTCCCAATCGCCGCCACCAACCCGGCTCCCAGCAGCGCCCGGACCTGACGGCGGGCCGTGCTGCTCTCCACCATGTTGAGCAGACACTGGGGAGCCATGGCCAATCAACAAGAGGTCCAGTACCGTCTACCCTGGGAATGTAAATGGCTCTGAGGCAGGAGCTTAAAGCCAAAAGGTCTAGGAACAGCTGAAAGCCAAGAGAAGAGTCAGAAAAGGTTTTAGTTCCACAGACAAAAATGTGGGAAAGAAACCATACCTCAAGAGATTCATTTCTGTCTGGATCTAAAGCCAAAAGCATGATCTGGATTTTGAGGAGGGTAGATGTGTCAGAGTGGCTTGCTTCTGACACACCGCAGGGGGGTACGGCCTGCTAGGGAAGTCAGCACTGCACTGACCGGGGCTCATTCCGCAGCACCTACGGGAACCGACTCACGGCTGCCCCACGCTGGACTCCAAATTTTCCGCACAAACCTGCACTCACACCAGCTGCTGGGCTTTTCACCTCCTGTCTCTGACCCCTGCGAACTCGTGTATCACACTACAGGGTGTGTGACTGCCGCGGAGAACACGGTCCGGGAAGAGCGGAGAGGACTAGCGTGAAGAGGGGAGGGGAGGAGACACTCCATTCGCAGAGCCACGGGCACAAGAGAAAACCACGTCGTCGGTGGCACCCAGTGGAGGCCTGGTGCTCACTACCAGCAAAATGTTGTGCTACTACGGGTGCCAGCCCCTCCCCTTCAAGGGCAAGGACTAAAATCTCTTCTGAAAGTATAACCTGGCTCGTGTTCCAAGGGAGACGCCCACACAAGCTGGAATTAATTCCCTGGGAAGAAAAACCAAACAGATTAATCCTATTTTGTGCATCTTCTGCCTAACAAGGTAAACAGCATGTGAATGAAGCTTCCTCAAAGTTCTGTGGTATTCAGGCCAGAAAGCCAGGCTGGAAACAAGTGTTCTTCCCTTCCCAGTAAGGAGAAACACCCATGACCTACATGAGAACACACAACCTGGCAGGAAGGCAACGGACTCCCACAGACGGTCTTCTGGGGAGGGCATGGAATGTACCTGAAGGCCTCTAGCTCCAATCAGTCATTGTGTAATTCGGGTAATGAAAACATCCTACTGTAACAGATGCAATGTTCCTGTAGAAACAGTGCTTCTGAGGGACTGGCGTCAGCCGCGAGGATCGAACAGGACTATAACGATACAGCGACAGTCCTGGTCTGTGCCCCACCGATCTACCAAACCAACCAACAGCACCACACGTAATCAAGAACATCCTCTAAGCCACTTGGCTTCAGTGAGGCTGGTCAGAGCAAGCCCAGTGCCAGTGACAGACACCGAGGAGGCAGGGGAAAGGACAGAGGGAGGGTGTTCTAAAAATACAAGACTCGAGCCACGGGATGATCATCCAGGCCGCACGGGATGCTGGAGTTCTACCACACGCCGGGGCTGGGTCTCGCAGCACAGCAGATGGAAGTCTTTAGACGATTCCTTCCTACACCTCTTGTGCTAAGTCCCCGCCCGGGATTAACACACACAGCAGGTTCATCTTATAATCACAGGGCACACGCCACCACAGACAGACAGACAGACAGACAGACACACAACCACATCCTTAACCCAGGGAAGTCCAAAGTCCCCCAGGAGGATTTACAGCACAGTACTTCTCCCACCGCTTTCTGGACTGTTCCCCCGGTAGGCTAACCGTTCAATAAAAATCCACACTCGCAGTGGGGACTGAAGGACACCTTCAAATCCACTCTCAAAAAGATAAGATAATAAAACACACTAGCTGCTCCACGTTCATTCCACTGCCTTGAAATCCTGGAACCACAGACGTGGAACCCCACAGAGAGGGCAAGACCTCACTGTGACGTCTCCAAAGGAGCCTCTGCCCTCCGAGGGCCCCCGGGGAGAGCGCCGGCTCACTGGTCCTCTGACACGGCAGCGAAGCGGCCTGGGCTAGGTGGCGAGGTGGGCGGGGGACGAGATAGAGACAAACTCCCGGAGGATGTTCTTGGCCATTTCGACGTTGTTGTGGGCAATGACCAGGGCTTTCTGGATGTCCTGGTAGGAGTACCCCTGGCTCAGGAGGCTCTCGATCTCACTGGAGAGCTGTGGCGAGGCAGCCGCGGCAACGCTGCCCTGCTGACAGCCACCTGCTTTCCGTTCCGAGTTGATTCGCCGAGGGAACGGTTTGGGGGGCCTTTCAGGAACTTGGGAACCCTCAGTGAAGTCTAGAAGAAATCAAACAGAAAAGAGTTGCAGATCTGGGGGCAACCCTCCTTCAACGGCAGCAAGAACAACAGTGTGTTGCGCGCCTGGGTGGCTCAGTTGGTTAAGC